CCCGCCAATCACTCACAGAGTACCCGCCAATCACTCACAGAGTACCCGCCAATCACTCACAGAGTACCCGCCAATCACTCACAGAGTACCCACCAATCACTCACAGAGTACCCGCCGATCACTCACAGAGTACTCGCCAATCACTTACAGAGTACCCGCCAATCACTCACAGAGTACTCGCCAATCACTCACAAAGTAAAGTATGGTATTGTAAGATACAGTATGCTACAATATGGTAGTGAAGTAAGGTATGGTACATGTGGAAGGGTAGGGTAGGGTAGAGTAATCAAGGGCAGGGCAGGGGAGGGTAGGGTAAGGACAGTAGGGGAAGTAGGGGAGGGGAGGGTGATGTAGGGTAGGGTAAGAGAAGGTAGAGTAATGTAGGGTAAGGTAGGATAGGGATGGAGTGGGGAAGGGTAGGGATGGGGTACGGTTAGGATCAGAGTCGGGCACGACATTGCACGGTATGTCACAGCATGGCATGATATTGTTTGATATGGTATGGTATGTGGTATTTTAGCATTTAGCATTTTATGACAACGTCTACATTTCCACTTACCGAAACGGCAAAATAGACTGAACCACTGGCTTTCCCAAATAGTGATCAACTCTGTAGATTTCCTCCTCTTGGAAGAAATTCAGCATTTTCTCAGACACCAACTCCACTGATTCCCTGTTGAGCCCAAAAGGTTTCTCAAGGGCAAGTTTCCACTGTATATCTTGTTCCCCTTTACTCTTACACGTGTTGTAGAACTTTTGTAAAACGGACTCGTACGATGAAGGAGCAATGGCCATATACAGCATAACTTCCTTGATCACTTTCCCACCCTTCTCAGAAGAAAACTTTGACGTAATCTCCGAGCACAGAAATGTGAAATCTTCGTCTGTGAGAGCAGATATATAGCTCACTTTCTCCAGCATTTCTTTTCTCTTTTTCTCGCACACGTGGACTGCCAAGGGTTCTTCTCCATCCTCATTGCATCTGACATTTGACTTGAGTATTTCATTGAGCAGAACAGTTCCTTTTTCTTGATTCGTTCGTCCAACGGAGAAAAAATCAAAGGTGCGGTTGACGCCCTGACTGCCTTCAACTCGAATCCTTTCCTCGGTCAGTTCTTCCGTCTGAGCTTGGTATACGTTAAAGATTCCCTGCCACAGGTACTTGGCTGCTAGGTCTCCGTTACCTCCAAAAACTACGAACACAGTGCGGTGATTCAAGGTCGAAGCACTGGGATACAGCAGCATTAGGAACAGGAAGGAGGTCAGATTTGCTGTAAGTCTCATTGTCATTGGTTCTCATCAGCTGGAGAGTTCCAACAACACAACTCACACAATTCTGAAAATAGAAAAGAGGGGGAAAAAATATGTGAGAACAGATTCAGAAAACATCATGTTCAATGTATCCATGTTTTTCCAAATGTATGAGTCACTGAGGTATCTGATTCCCTTTAGTAGTAATAGAACAGCTTTTGGTGTGTGTGCAGCTTGCTTCATACCTGAGATAAGTTACTCTTTGTAAAAGTAAAACAGCAGAGTATCAAATAAGAGAAGGCAGTTCTGAAAAGAAAAAAAAAAACTGAACTGCTGTCTGTTCAGCCTACTGTACACAGCAAGTGACTGCACTGGACTATTAGAGAAGTGTTTTTAGCCTACACAGCTCGTGATGGTATTGTCAAGCGGAAAATGAAACTGCTTTGCCTGATGGGACTTTTGAGTCGTGGTCTGGGGACAACTTCTGATTACTTAGGCCTACCTAACCCAGGTCACTTCCACTTCTCCACATGCCCCTCCCACAATGCCCCACTCCGACTAGACATCAAGCAGGTTCTCAAACTGCTTGTAAAGGTTCTCATTGTCTAGAGGTAAGGTGTTCACTTTTATTTCAAAAGGCGGTAAATTTTTACTTTCACTCCCGCACACAGATGTACTGCTTTGAGGGTCAAACTGCAGTACTGTTTGCTGCAGATCACACATATATAACCACTAAAACTGTCGCAAATCAATTATTTTTTGGAAAATTTCAAAACGAACTGTAAAATATCGCATTATGGGTTAAAACAGGGGGGCACTTCCCTGATGTTGCCAGCTGTCTCAAAATGAGCAATTTGTCAGCTAGGTTACTGTAAGTCATTCTTAGTGATCCTGTGTATGCATCTAAAGAGCGGTTTTTAACAAATATATACAATCTATAGGGCCAAAAAAACAAAAACTTTTAAATTTCAGGATCAAGATTTTTTTAATCAAAATATTTTTCTTTAGTCGCTGGCCTGCAGAAGTGTTAAGCGAAGGCTCGAGGGCATAGTAAATTAATAAATGAGCTAGAATTCAAGTTTCAATGCAGACAGACGAAAGTGAACTTACTAGTTAAACAATGTACAGAACTTTAGTGCCACACGTAGTGTTCCTCCCCCCCCCCCCCCCCAGCAGTGCCACTGACTGAAGTGTCTTTTAGGCCATTCCAAAGCCAAAGGGGGGATCGGATACAAACATGTTCTTTTATGCACAAAGAATTGTAAATGGGCTGATTTATCAATAAATGTCACGCTCAAACTGTGCGGGAACAACATAAAATCTATATGAGCCATTGCCAAAACGTGGGGAAAAACACACACATCTCACAATAGTGTGCATAAAATGTGATGCATTAGTATTTATTCCTCCAAAACTTATACACACATGTCAAATATAGGTTGTAGAACCTGCATTAGCAGTTTCAGACCCTATGTCAGCTTTACAATCTTGAGTTTGTAAATTTTGTGCCAAAAATGTT